TGAATGATTAAAAATTTAGTTAATTATAACATTGCATTATAGATTTATAGTATGATTACTTAATTAATTATAATATTTCATTATAAACATTAGTACAATACTTAATTAAATGATTAGAAATTTAATTAATTATAATATTAAATTATAGATTTATAGTATGATTGTTTAATTAATTATTTGTGTTTTGGTTTTGATTGAGGAATTTTATGTGAATTGTGATGAATTGATTGAATTCAAGTGTTGTCTAGAGATTAAAGGATTTATGAGTTACATCGGACACAATTAAATGAGTAATCAAAATTTGTTAGGGGTGTATTTGTAAACTTTAAGGTATTTTTTTCATTTTTAAACTAATACGGGGATAATTGATTATTTACAGGGTACTCGGGAAAGGAATTGAAACCTGCAATTTAGGTTCCGATTCCTTGAATTTAAGAACCTGCACTGTACGGTTCCAGTTCTCGTTCCTTTTTTTGGGAACCTACACTGTGCGGTTCCGATTCCCGTTCCCTCGAAAAATGCAGGGTACCCGAAACCGCTCACCCTTAGCCACAGTCGCAGCACTCCTGCATTTGAGCTAATGTGAGCTGTTTTATGGGAAGAGAACTGGGCATTGGTGTAACTGGAGTGGGAGATAGCGGAACAGAAACTGGCGTACGCAAAAAGGGAGGTAGAGTCTAGCTAGACCTTGAACCGGAGCAATTGGCCACCCAAGGACGTGAAACAGGCGGACGAAGGTGTTGTTACAATTCACGAAATTTGTCTTCCTATAGTTTCGCAAGGCCAAAGGCTTGTAGGAGTGTCAAAGGGTGAGATGAGCAGACCTCACGTTGTATTTCTGGTTTCAAGCCTGAAATAAAACGACTCAAAGGCAAGGGTCAGAGAGGCCGGAAACCTGAGTCAAAAGTTCCTCAAAGAAAGACTAATAATTAGTGACTGAACCACGCTGGGTGAGCTTGAATAACTTGCCAGTAAAATTGACAAACTCTGAAGGGCCAAAGCGAACCTGGAGAGTTTGCAAGAACTGACGCCAAAATTAAATTGGCCATTATCCTCCATCCAACGATACCACGATAGGGCTGATCCTTCCATGTGAAACGAAGAAATTGTGAGCCGTTGATCACCCGGAGTCGATTGATAATTAAAAAAGCACTCTGCTTTGAAGATCCAACCCTTTGGATCAACACCATCAAAACGAGGTACCTTCAAATGGAAGGGCTTAAACAAAGGAGTAGAACCGGCGGAATCTCTGCCACCTAGAGAACCCATACCCATGTAATCTCCACCTCCTGCAGAACCACTGCCTGTAGTCGTAGATGTATCAACATGTTTCTGTGAGGTTTGTTGTTGTTGCGCAAAGTGTGAAGAGGAAACCGATAACTGCACCGCAACAGTCTTCATGAAGTCTTCAAATGAATCCAATTTGGCTACCAAGGCAGCCTGCTGATTTGAAAGTTGGCTAACAGTGTCATCCAAGGAACAAAGTTTGGGACTGTCAGCCATGGAAGGGAACGAAAGCACAAATGATAGGGAGAAAAGAGATTATGTTTATATGAGGAACATAGCCTCCAAGAACAAAGGTTGAAGAAGAGGTTTATCAATTTTTTTATATTCAACATAAAGTTTTTCTAGGTTTTATATAACCTGACCCCCGAACTCTTTCCTACTAACAAAAGGACTCTTGCGTAATGATAAAATATACTCCCTCCGTTTCCTTTTAATTGACGTTTTAAGTGTGGGCACAGATTTTAATAAAAACAAAAATTTCTCTCTCCCACCACTTTTTTCACTGATTTCGCAGTGGGAGAGACTTTGAAAGTGAGAACTTTCCGCTTATTGAAATGCAGTAACATTTTTAATAATTTTGTCTTATTCATCTGTTTTAACAATTTTGAAAGGTGCAGACAAAAGAAACGGCAGAACGACTTTAATTTTGAAAATTTTAAAAAGTCTTAGAACGACAATTAAAAGGAAACGGAGGGAGTAATTCTTTATTGACTACAATTGGTAATATTATTCTATATTGAATAAAATACTAATAGCTTAATAAAATACTAATAATACTCTAATTATAATCCATTGCCCATGCATGTTTTCTCTTTGAACGCATGAACCTTCTAACAACACTCCCATCATGATGCAAGTTCCTAACAAATGGGTAAATGTTAAAATAATTATTTTTCTATTATTTTTTTATTATTCGTCTATATACAATATAATCTTTTTATAATGATACTCTATATAAGAATAACTTCCATATAATCATAAAAAATTATGATCCCAACTTAGGTCAGCTATAAATAAGAATAAATTTCACATTGTAATTAGTTTTAATTTTTCTAGGCCCTATCTTAAGAAACTTGTCTCTACATGATAATAATTATATGTATATTGTAAAAAAAAATGCTATATTACATTAAAGGTTTAAGATAAAATAAAATATTTATCTAAAATTCTTTGAGACAATAATTTATACTTTAGAGTTGTTACCACATATTTTATCTTGTGGGTATATAATAAGTCGTCATACTTTCAAGCATGTTTAGAGCTTTTTGACACGAAACTTTTAGTATTTCTGTACTATAATCTTCAGAATTATCTCCTTTCTTTTCTTGTTTAATTTCAGTAATGATTTCTTCTTCAATTAAAGCATACATGACTTGTTGATATCTATTTGATTAGTGCAGTGAAGTTGTCGAACCTGATCACTTAATTCATTTGTACTACTAAAATATGAATTATAAAATAAGAAATTAAAGCAATAATTATTTAATCAACACAATAATTATTGTAACTACACCTCTATTAAATTATAACATTCTCGTACTAATAAATTTAGTTGGTCCCAACATTATGACTATAGAGTGATTTTACTGTTTATCAAAAAATAAAAATGTAGTTTAACCCTTGTATAACTTGCGAGTTTAAGTAAGAGTTAAACTAAAATTCTTAAAATACCCATATTTTAATCCCATTATTTGATTACATCTTCCTTTCCTTAAAACAAAATTTTAAGAGTTAAACTAAAATTCTTAAAATACCCATATTTTAATCCCATTATTTGATTACATCTTCCTTTCCTTAAAACAAAATTTCAAACGGAGGCGAAGCCAAAATTTTAATTGTACGGTGGTAGAATAAAATTTCAAGTTTCATAAGCATAAATATATGAATTTTCTTTTATTTTGATAAAACAAAATACTTTTTTTTTTCAATATTTAAAATTCAAACTTATAATTTCCAGTACTATATGGCTTTTTCCATAAATTAGTAAAATAAATTAGATTGTAATTTAAATAAAAATAAATCTTCTCATAAGATAGTTTTTATTTTTTCTGTTTTCTTTTTCTTTCAGATGTAAGTTATAAATATTAGAGAAAGCAATTACATATGGAGAGAACCAGGAAATTAAAAAAAATAATAATAATAAGCTTTTTTCTATTATTATTATTACCTTTATCTCTTTCATTTTCTCTTTCCCTTGAAGTTTCATCATACATGGATTCAATTTTGAATGAACCACAATTAATAATAAAATCTAACATCTCAAAACCTTATTAAAAAAATAAATGAAAACCAATTACTACTTTTTTTGAGTGTGTTAGAATTTGAGGTAGTTTCTGATCATTTCTCATATGTGTCAGAAGATTGACTATGAACTACCCTTCGGAGGTGTGTTTATGAAATTCTCAGAATAATAGAATGGTAATCTTTGTCGGATGTATAAGAACCATAATATTAATAAAATAAAATAAAATAAAAAAGGAACAAATTAATTTTGTGTGTAAATGGGTTATTTGATATCTATGGGTGCGTTTAGTTTAGTATTTTGGATAGGATTTTAGGGATAGTATTGGGCTATTGGATATGAGAGTATTACGAGGTAAATTTTAAAAATTTGTAAAAAAGCCCTTAGGTTTACTAATTTAACTAAAGACCCTAACATATAAAATGACAAAAACACCCATACCACCTGCAGTGTCAGATTCCGGCCACCACCGCCGGAATCTGGCCGAAAAATTTCGTTACGGCACAGACTTGTCGGATCTGTGCCGTAACACATCGTTATGGCCTTTTCCGGCCAGATCCATGGTGGATCTGGCCGGAAAAGGCCAGATCTACGGTCTATTATGGCCGTCGACGGTCGGAAAAGGCCAAACGAGGGCCAAAGATGTGGCCGTCGTTTTCGGTCAACGATGGCCATTTCTTTGGCCCTCGTTTGGCCTTTTCCGACCGTCGACGGCCATAATAGACCGTAGATCTGGCCTTTTCCGGCCAGATCCTTTTCGGTCAACGATGGCCATTTCTTTGGCCGTCGCTGACGGCCAGATCTGGCCTTTTCCGACCAGATCCATGGTGGATCTGGCCGGAAAAGGCCACAGCGGTGAACTTCCGGCCATTTCTGGTGGGAAGTTAGGCCGTTGTACAGATTCCGGCTATCACCGACGGTGGTTGCCGGAATCTGACAAGTTGGGTTGATGGGGGTGTTTTTGTTAATTTTTAAACTTTTTTTCAAGGGGTATTTAGTGAAATTAATAACCTTATGGGGTTAAAATGTAATTAAAAAATAGGATAATATTTTTAGAATATTATACCAAACGCTATTTAGAGAATAGGATCCAGAATAGGGATAAAAATATTAAACCAAACATGCACTATAATGTTCGATTGTACCGATGAAGTCAGGGAAATTTTCGTAAAAAGGACTGCACAAATGGCTTCCATTCGCAAACAAAGCTATCAAAATTGTCCTCCAAATAAATTCGTAAGTGAAGGAATTGAGACATCTTAATCGCTCAAGATCGTTAGACTGGTCCCGGCAACCAAGAATTATACGGGCAAATGAGAATAAAAAACCATAGCTGATGTGAAAATAAGGTTAGTTGTTTTTCTTTTGGCAAAGCATTAAGTGGGTTCTCAGATTTTTAATGTTTGGTTTTGATTTCTGTTAGAAGAAAGTTGGAGAAATTGAAGATGGCAAAGAGGGGAAGATGCTCGAATGAATTTGAAAGCTTAGCTAATTTCAATTATTAAATATACATTTGCTGATCACATGTATATAGTGTGAAAACCAGTTTGATTGAACAAGTAGGGACTATGTTAAAATACACCAAGACTATACATTTTTATCTTACAACTGAAAACCTGCCCATCTTCTGAAACTTCTAATCTTACTGCCTTCTGAAATTGCCATTCCTATTCCTGTCCTTCCTCCTTCCCCAACACCCACATAATACAATCTCCATTCATCTACATTATCTTCCATTGGAACTAGACATGGACATCCCACTCCTTTGTTGTCCCATGCATCCTCTTCTGAAGCCTTTAAAATTGGTTCTTCTTGTACTTTCTTCCAAGTTTTTAGCCCATCAGAAGATTCTGCCAGTCCTATACTCCTGTTTCCATGGGCATCAACACCCTCATACGCCATCAAATATTTCCCGTCTTTTGGGTTTTTTACCACAGATGCATTCTTCGCACCAAGTTCATCAAACAAACCTTTTGATCCCCCACCCATTATTTTTCCCAATTTCACCCATCTGATTCCATCTCTGGATCTTGCAAGTCCAACAGCAAACTGCCCCTTTTCAACATCAAATGAATAGTAATACATTCTGAGATCTTCATTAGAATGCACAACCACCTTAGGTCCAGCAATAAACAAAGAATCCCATTCCTTCCCTGTCCCTACATCAAGTAAAGCTCCAGAGTGATGATCTCCTTCTATTCTGGCCCAGTGCCTACCATCTTGGCTGCATGCTAAGCCTGGAAGAGACTTGCAAATTTTACCAATCACTTGACTTCCATTCTTAACATTTTCGAGGTGAACTTTCTCTGGGTTCTCAACAGAAATTTGTGGAGCTTCTGGAATCTCTACTTCTTCAGAACTAAATCCTGTGTAGTAAAGCCAATACACCGCGCTGTACATTGGGCTAGACATTATGACCATCTCAGAGGGCCTAATGCTCTCGGTGTCAAAAGCCCACCAGTTCTTGCTGCAATTCATCACCACACCTGCATCTGCACAAGACCTAACGTTTCCTGGACCTCGTGCCCAGTGAATTCCATTACTTGAAACTGCTAGTCCGATGGAATCAGAATTACTATTACCATCATAGCTTCCATGGTACCACATGTACCACCGTTCTTCATTGTCGCCAATAAATCTTTTCACAACCGGAGACCCTATTTCTGTGCTATCCCAGGAGTTTTTTGGACCCAAGTCAAAAACCAAACCTCTAGACCATGTTGATGTGAGGGCTTGATTTGGCGTGGGAGTCGCTATATGTTGTGCTTTTGAATTGGATTCTAATCCAATGGCAGGGTTTCTATTTGTAGCATTAGTGTTGTCAATGCCTGGTTTAGTGGAGCAATGAGTGAGAAAGAGGGTGCTGTATCTAGAGGTGGTGAATTGAGCTCTTTGGTGGGTTGGAAAGGTAGTGCAGAAAGATCTACCGGAGGCATAAATAGCAAGTGTTTCTGGTCTGGTGGAAGGCCATGGCGTTTGGATTAAATATGAAGTGGTAGCCATTCTTCCGGCATTAGAAGCTGCAAGGAAGTTAATAGTTTTTGTTACTGTGGTTGTTGCTGCTGCTCTCTCCATTACAGGAGCAAGCGCAGAGAAGAAAGGAGATTGGATCTGATATATCAGATGCCAATAAATTTTTTCAACATTTGTGTGGGTTTTATAGGAGAAGAGAACTGAGGCCATCTAAAATTTCTCCCCATATTTTTCTGTATTTATAAACAAGCCCTTACACGATGTGCCTCTCTCTATTCAGTATTCAAAGCCATCCGTAAGCCCAAAAAAATAAATTGACTTAAAATTCTCTATTTTTACTTCCTATCTACTATTCCTCCTTATGATTTAGGCACCTCAATTATCGAAATGGGGCACTTTTTAGCTGTCAGATGGTAAAGGCAAGACCTGATACGACACTTGAGAGCACTAGAGTTGACTTGTTGGATTAGGGTAAGTTCAAATTTGGCCACAATGTTCTACTAAATTACCATGTTCTATGATATTTCTACATCACAAAATAAGTCTTTTGTGTGGATCGCATCCATTTACTAATTAATCTATGACAAGTTAATAAGTGATGAATTATAAGAGAATGTTATAAACTTAATATTATTATTTACATAATGCTATATATATATAATATTTTTATATAACATAATGTGATAAAATATAATTAAATAATTTTAAATTAAAAATAAATTTTTATTTAATCATCTGAAAAATATTGTAAATAAATGTTATAAGTATAATATTACTCAGTAATATTTTTGGAAAGTGGCTGCCACATTGGTAAGGAGACTCTTTTCCATGACAGTTTATTCAACAAGATATGAACTAACGTACCCTTGTCCTACAGATTGTGTTTTTTCAGAAAATGGGGTGATAAAAATCTCAAGCTCTTTCTTTATTGAATAATGCTATATTTACACCAATCTTTTACACCATATTCATTACATCATGATGTGACATATGTCACAATCACACAAATTTTTAATTATTTTAAATTTTTAATATTATAATAGAATTTGTGTAATTATGGCATATGCCACATTATAATGTAATGAAAATAGTGTAAAAGAGTGGTATAAATATAATATTATTCTTCTCTATTTATTAAAAAAAAAAAAAAAAAAAAAATCTTTGTGATTGAATGTTATATTCTTCCCGTACCACCTTTCAATAAACTTATATCATATCTAAAATTACTTACATTTATTATCTTGTAATATAAGATCAACAACACGGATTATTGGGAAATGAAAAACATTATTTAAAAAAAAAAAAAANGGTTTGGAGTTGAAATATCCTCCTTCCTTCTTCATAGTCACTTCCAAATGCAGCTCGAGAAATCACATCGACAGTCAAATATTTAAGATAGGGCCACACATCCAACTCACATGATCCTTCTGCAGAGACCGAATTCTCCCATTTACTAATTGTTTCGTTGCAGGCTTGATAGAACGCAGGCAACATAAGCTGCATCAAGAATTGAAAGCAAATTCAGTAAAATTTCCTTTTAATTTTCTCATTAATGGTATCCAAGAAAATAAATAAAATTGACCTTCAACTTCTCTAGGTGGAATGCTGGGTTGATAATCTTTCTACGCTTAGCCCATTCCTGGCCCTCAAAGTTCAAACTTCCATTTACTAGCAACTTGGAAAGAGGATTTGCCTGCGGTTTATAAAAATCATTGTACCTTGTATATATCTCTTTAATTTGATCAGGATTCGTGATCGTCACCCGGCTCATCCATATAAAAGAATTCTTTCCTGCATTGTGAAAAAATATGCACAAATGTTGGTAAATTAAGAAGCTATAATCATATGTACTGAAGTTAAGGCACACCATAATCCTGGACGACTTTATGGAGGAATGGAATAACACGAGGTGCAATGTCGTCTGAGAGATTAAAAGGTCTGGATTTTGCTTGTGTTATCTCATGGAAGTCTCCTTCAAGTCTCCATATAGAAGCCTGTAAGGTTTGCCTTTTAAACCTTGCTGTCTCAGGTATCTTTCTAGCCTCTTTGGCCTTAACCATACCCAGTTCAGTATTCTCCATGCCGATGTTACTACTGTAACCAAAACTATTGACAATGCTATGGATTTCACTGATACTTCCATTTCCAGTGAGAGACCACAATTTAATTGATCTTATTGTGAGTAGAATGGAAGAGAAGATAATTATGTTCATAAAAAAACTGTTTGATTTCAACAATGCAGAATGATAACTTATTTTATTGATGTGGCTATGTCTATACAGTTTTTTAAAAGAATATACAGATTAACAAACTAATAATATTAAAATAAATTGATAGTGAGGCGTCTGGAGTTTTGCTATTGTCCGACTGTGTTTCGGGCCTTTCGGCCGGCTCACCATAGTGTGACTTCTGCACTACAAATAAAATTAATTTATCATCTAAATATTATAAAATACAAGCAGATTGTTAAATTAAAAAAAAAGTTATAAGAAGACTTTGGAAGGCCTAAAACGTAACATTATTCTATTAAGTTCCTCTAGGATCAGGGGTGAGCACGGGTAGCGGATAGAACCGGAGCCTGTGGGTAGAACTGGAACCTACCCGTAACCGACATTGTGTGGGTAGGTCCTAGTTTCATTTTTTTGGAACTGACACTGTACGGTTCTTATTCCAGTTCCTACATATAGAGGAACCGGAACCGGAACTTAAAAAAAAGAACCTGCAGTAGGTACCTGGGTTGGAACCTGCAAGGCTGCAACAGGTGCGCTGTTTTGGAACCTGAGCTGAAATGAAATATCTGTGAAGAATGGGGGCTCTATTGTAATTTTACATATAAAAAATTTTAAATGGAAAAAATTAAATTTTTACAATAACCTAATTATAAAATATACAATTATACTTATTACATATAAACTATACCATATAAAAAACTTTAATATGTTATAATATATTAATATTAAAGTTTTGATTAATTAAATGTATAATTGGAATTGAGACCGATTAAAAGTGTTTTAATATTATTAAAAGAATTATTTTTGAATAAAATAATATATTTGATTGAATAATAATATAATATTTAGTTATTTAATTCAATTATCAAGTACCAAGTATATCATTAAGTTATAATTAAATGATTACTTAATTAATTATAAGTTTATAACATTACATTAATAATTTAGTACATTATTTAATTAAATAGAAATTTAATTAATTATAACATTAGATTATAAATTTATAGTATAATTACTTAATTAATTAAAACATTATATTATAAACAAATGATTACTTATTTAATTACTCTATCCATTTCGAAATAAAAGTCGTTTTAAGTTATTGCACGTTTTTTAATAAACTAATTTTTTAATGAAATTTTTTTTTCTCTTTGCTCTTCCCTCTGAAAGTGCTTGGAAAATGGAATGAAGAAAAAGAAAGAGAGAGAGAGAGGAGATGAGGGGTGAGGGAAAGAAAAAGGAGACAGGGGCATACTTCGAGAAAGAGAGAGAGGGTTGCATTTGGCCAAACGACATTTATTTTGGAAAAAATTTATAAGGCTAAAACAACTTTTATTTAAACAGAGGGAGTATAACATTCCATTATAAACATTAGTACAATATTTAATTAAATTATTAGAAATTTAATTAATTATAATATTACATTACAGATTTATAGTATGATTACTTAATTCATTATAATATTTATAATCACATAATTAATTATAACATTATATAATTAAATGATTATTTAATTAATTATGACATTATATTATAAACATTAGTAATTTATTACATTAGCACAATACTTAATTAAATGATTAGAAATTTAATTAATTATAACATTACATTATAAATTTATAATATGATTACTTAATTAATTATAACATTAGTACAATACTTAATTAAATGATTAGAAATTTAATTAATTATAACATTACATTATAAATTAAATATTTATCTTCAGCAATATTAATAAGTTGATCAGTTGCAGCAATATATAAAGCTAATTGTTCCCTATATACATCAGAATTATAATGCCAAGTAGTACCCATATTAGTTATTTGAGTTTGATTGGTTTCTCTATTTCCATGTTGAGCAATATGTTTATTAGCATGCCTTTTTAAAGTACTAGTACCATTACCTAAATCAGCTTTATAAACATTTCCACAATACTTGCATCTTGCTTTCTTCACTTGAACTCCATTTTCTGTCTCGTAAAACTTTTTGAAATGCATCCAAACGTCTGATGTGTGTCTGTCGTCACTTTCGACAGCAGTTGATGAACCCGCTTCAGCTTGAGATGAAGTTGAACGAGGACGACGATTACAAGGACAACTTCTAAAACCACCCGGAGCTGTAGGTGTAGCAGCATGGGGAGGAATCGGGGGCATATTTTGAGGTGTATCGGATTCTGGGACTGGGAAAGCGGGATTATTTGAATCTCCTCCTGCATTCATGTTAGTAAATTCAGCGGGACTAGGACTAGGATACTAGTTTCCTTCCTTATTGAAATTGATGGAAGAGAAATATCTATCCACTGTAGTTGAAAAAAAAATTGATGTAGAAGAAATAAAAAATTAAAGAAGGAGATTGAAATATGGAAAATTGGAAATATGAATTGAAAATTGCAAAAACTAATAAAAATTAAAATAAGAGCAAATTGATAAATGATAACAAAGAGATTAAGAGAATAATTGAGAGATTTCAATAAAGATTAGAGATTAGAGAGAATGAGAGAATTTGAGTTGTGAGAAAATATGAGAGTTTAGGGCCAATTTATAGAAAAAATTGGGAATAGAAAATGATGAAAAAGACCCCTCCAACTGCTGTAAAACGACTATATTTCAACGGTAAAAGAGGAATTAAAAAAAACAAATTAATTTTAGTTTTTTTTTTAATTTTTTTTGGCCAACCCGCCGATCAACCTGGCGGGTTGGAAAGAGCCAACCCGTGGGTCAACCCGGCGAGTTGGCGGTCCTTTCTTAGAAAGGACAAAACAGCAACCCGCGGGTCGGCGGGTTGCCATATGGCAACTCGGCCCGCCCGAGGGTTGCATGAGGGCCGGGTTCAACCCGACCCGCCTTATTGGCGGTCCGGGTTGAACCCTCTTAAATTCGGGCCAGGTTAAGGTTGACCTGCTTAACCCGGCCCATTTGTTCCACCATTAAGTATTG